GCTGTAGGTTACCGCTGCCGATGGTGTCGTAGAACGTGTTGTACGCAATTCTAAATTCATTTATTGAGTTGACATTAAATTTAATTTGTTTGAAGATATAAACGATATTTTGTTTGGTATGAACTATATACTTTGTGAAATTAGTACCAAGTCATTACACCGTACGTATATTAATCGTACGTTGGCAGAGAGGCGAGGAAGAGTTTCCTCGGAAGCATGAATAACATCGGGGAAATTTATTGCATCAACGTCAAACAGGTAAAACAAAAAAATGAACACGAGAGCTATATGAAAGCTTGTTATTTCTTCTGTTTAGATCATGTTCGGGACAAAAGACGTCATGAATTATTTCCAGAATTTAATTGATTCTCAAACAAGTTTCGAGCATTATCGTACATTGTCGTCCAGGTAGTTAAAAAACATTATCTTATCTACCTCTCTACTAGGATACATACATACATACAAAATGCATACGTACATTATATATATATATTATATATATATATATATATATATATATATATATATAATATATATATATATATATGAATATATATAAGTATTCATGGGTTGTCATTTTTCTTGACATTTTCCAAAAATACGAAATAAGAAATACAAATGTACAACAACAAAAATATATAAATAACGATGAATAATTTCTGTAATACCGCTAGTGAACACTAGTTTTTTATGATCTGTTTCTTCATACTTCCATTGCCAAATACGTCACGTAGTCATTGCTTTCATAGAAAACGAACAGAGTGTGAGAGAAAATAGAGGAAAGCCCAAACTATTATTGATTTGAAAATTGCGCATTTTAAACTCAGAATTAATTTAAAACCTGTTTCGAAAATAGATGATTAAGAGTTAGTAATTTCAGCAACAAATATTGTTAGTCATAATGTTCGGAAAATTCTGTTTAATTTGAAATGAAACCTGGAGCTCGTCTAAATACATAAAAAAAACATTTGAAATGAAGAATCTCCAACCATTGTTATATCACATTTAAGTAACCACACCCGAATGTACGCACTTACACCAGTGAAACAGAAATGTACTATAGTGTCACCGAAGTCAAACATTCTAAAGTCCATCATTATCTCTATGTCCATATTGTTTAAATACATTGCAAACAAATGTAGTATACGTTACAATCCTTGCCTTGCAATCTAAATACAGTGCTAATGTATACTTAAATTACATTTGGAGTTAGGTTTGTCGTATTGTCGACACCCTTGATGTTTAAATGAAATCATATGATAGATATCATTTACTGTACAGATGAATAGGTATAAAGGGAGATAAATAGTAAGATTGGCAGATAAGTGGTAAGTTAAACAAATAGATACAGACCGATAAGCAGATAAAGACTACGAAGACTTTTTCTATGTATTTCAGTCCTTTGCCTAAGACAGACATACAGACATACAGGCACACAAGTGCACAAACGCACAAACACACAAACACACACAACACACAAACACAACACAACACACACACACAACACACACACACACACACACACACACACACACACACACACACACACACACACACACACACACACACACACACACACACACACACACACACACACACACACACACACACACACACACACACACACACACACACACACACACACACACAACACACACACACACACACAACCACACACACACACACACACACACACACGCACGCACGCGCGCAAACAAACAAACAAACAAATGAGAGAGAGAGGAGAGGAGAGAGAGGAGAAAGAGAGAGAAGAGAGAAGAGAAGAGAAAGAGAAGAGAAGAGAAGAAGAAGAAGAGAGAAGAAGAGAGAAGAGAAGAGAAGAGAAGAGAAGAGAAGAGAAGAGAAGAGAAGAAGAGAAGAGAAGAGAAGAGAAGAGAAGAGAAGAGAAGAGAAGAGAAGAGAAGAGAAGAGAGAGAAGAGAAGAGAAGAGAAAGAGAAGAGAAGGAGAGAAGAGAAGAGAAGAGAGAAGAGAAAGAGAAGAGAAGAGAAGAGAGAGAGAAGAGAAGAGAGAGAAGAGAGAGAGAGAAGAGAGAGAGAAGAGAGAGGAGAGAGAGAGAGAACATATTTGCCTTACTAACTGCAGTTGCCTTACTCGTTCATGAGTTAGCGACTCCTGCTAGGTATGTAAGTAAAATCAGAATATCACAGTTTAACTTTTTTGTGTGTACTATGTTATTAGATTATGTATTATGAAATATAATATGGCAAAATGTTTATAAAACATTGTAATAGAAGACATATATTAACACAATAATGCAAAATAAATGCAAGGTAAAAAAAATACAATTTAAAGATAATCAATAAATCAGTAGGCCATATTACCGTATATAATGTTAGAAATTCATAATAACATGAAATGAAACCAAATATACCACATATGAATACATAACTTGCTCGACGACCGCTAACTTTAGTACTAGCGACAACTTTGCGTTTTGTTAGTACAACATAATAACATGAAATGAAACCAAATATACCACATATGAATACATAACTTGCTCGACGACCGCTAACTTTAGTACTAGCGACAACGCAGTAGTGAACGAGATTCTCCCAGAACACCAACATGGCGGCAGCAGCAACTAAGTCTGTCGGTTTTCTCGGTAAGATACGACGAATTCATAGTTTTTTGTGTGTTCAGTTGCTAGTTCATGTTGTTTATGTAATATTGTTGAGGATGTTATAGTATTTATAGAGTGTGAAAGAGAAACTGGGATTATTTTTAACTCGTCTACCGGGGCTCAAGGTTTACGCAATCCGGCTCATCGGATCAGCTGATTTCGTTTCTTTAACCCATTTAGGATTAATTTGATGTTTTGTGCTATATCTTTGCCCTTTCTAAGTAGCACAATATCCTGCGTTTATCTTGCCTTGTTTTATATCAATTATACCGTAGTAAAGGTAATAGTATGGTGATATTTAAGTCTCAGTTGGACCCAAACATTTTCCATGAATTTCACCTTGTAATGAGAAGCGAATGTACTGCTGAATGCAGTACGTGGCTACTGATGAATCGAAGGTAATTTTCTATATTACGTCCGCATGACCGATATCGACGATTTTGGTATCGTTGGATTCCTCTCACTCTATACAATGCAAATAGATAGGTTTTATTGCGCGCTAACCCCCCGTTAGCGACAAAACTTGGTCCCGATTGCGGGGGGCGACGATGTCGGATCGCCGGACGTAATATAGAAAATTACCCTATTAATATAACCTCACAGTGAAAATAATCATAGTTATTCACATGACTTTCCATTGCCCCCCCTGGGGGGGCTGCCGTCCCCAACCCCCGCCGAGGAAACAAAACCTCCACCACGTATTCATGGCAGGATAGAGCGCACACGAACTAGATGCGGAGCCGATAACCTACAATAACCTAGGATTTTTAAGGTACTAACCTGATTTATTAATGCCGCTAATTACTAGGGAGGATGCTCCTTTGCCGCAAAATGTGAAGGAGGCAGGGTGCGTCCGGCAGGAGGTCCTAGGCCGGAGGATACAGCGACGCTGCAGCACACAGGAAGTGATGCAACCTCACATTCAGGTGCTGGCTGCCCGCACCTGCCGCAATCTTTCTCACGACGAAGGAGGCCGTGGCGGAAGCACATATTTAGCATTTTTTCTTGGCTAATGGCAATCTCGCGCAGAAAATCCGTCTCGGAGTACGAGCACCCTCCACACTTGGCCATTGCAGCGACTATGACTGACTTCTGAACGCGACGGTTATTTTGGTTAGGAATACGAATGTCGTTATTCCAGAGGAAGGGAAACTCGACTTTGAGGCCATCGGTGTAACATCGAAAAAGGCGCAAAACCCGCTGACGAGGGTGGGCCACCGTGTTTATCCTGATTATACCACAATCGTCTCTATATACAATGCTGACTATAATAAGGTTAATATGCTGATTCAGTGAGAATCTTACGAGATAATACGCCCCCTGCTCCGACATCGACGATGATTGTGTAACGCTCTAGCCTGCCGTGAATACGTGGTGGAGGTTTTGTTTCCTCAGCGGGGGTTGGGGGGCGGCAGCCCCCCCCCCCCCAGGGGGGGTCGCAGGGGCCACAGGCCCCTGCAATGGAAAGTTATGTGAATAACCATGGTTTTTTTCACTGTGCATTATATTATTAATACTATTTAACCCGCATTTTCCCTGGAACCTTTCATGCCCTCCCCTGCTATCGGGGCCAAGTTTGTCGCTAACGGGGGGTTAGCGCGCAATAAAAACTATATATTCGCAATGTGGAGAGCGAGAGGAATCCAACGATACCAAAATAGTCGATATCGGTCATGCGGACGTAATATAGAAAATTACCGAAGCGAATGTACTGCTGAATGCAGTACGTGGCTACTGATGAATAGAATCTTACACACAGTGGTATGTGGAGGGCTGGTGATGCCCGGGACAAACATATTGATTGTATGCCCCAATTATTGTGGAGGGCTGGTGATGCCCGGGACAAACATATTGATTGTATGCCCCAATGATTATATGAACAGATGAAACATGAAATAGACACTATTTACGTTAGATACAAGTTTTGAAGTCGCTGTCTCATTTCCTTCTCTATTTTGATACCCCCTCCTATTTGGATGTCCAGGGCCACCATCCTGTTTAGAAAATGTTGTTCTCGGCTGCGTCATAGCTAGCAATAACAATGTATGGGCTGCAACCTGTGAGCAAAAGACATTTAGGTAATTTTTACAGACTGCGATGTACCCTCGCAGAGACTAAGTTCCAAAGTGGGGGGGATAGGGGGGTATAATTGAGCTCACAAAGCTCTAAAGCAATGGGGACGGGGGGGTTGGCACGATGTCAGTATCAACTTTTAAATGTGGAAAGAAACTAAATACCATTTAAACCGTTAAAAAGTGTAATTATCTGAAAGACGAGCCAAACTTTCTGTCCCAAAAACAATAGAAAGGCCTTATGATCAGAAACACGAGCCAAACTTTGTCCAACAGAGAATTAATGAAATACTGCTAAAGTAAACAAGCATAACACGCAATGCATACAAAATCGATATCCGATACACACAGTTTTAAACATTATAACAATATGTGGTTATCGTGCGAACCAAAATAACGAAAACATAACATAAGGAGTTCTCAACTCCACATCACTAGGTGTGCCTTTAGGGCACTGCCCAAGGGGAGGATAAGTCTGGGCGCTGCTCCCCAACACCCCCTCAGGAAACTGTCTTCCCCTCGGTACGCAGGGCTAGATCAAGATGAAACTTGGGAACACTGAGTGGACTTTGGCTATGAATGGCGCTTTCAATGAAATTTATCCTTTATTTGTGGAGTTACCATTCGTGTCTGTTTTCGAAGTGACTGCACCCCTCTGCGACAAAGTCTCCATTACTCTAGGCATTCATGTCAATCCACAAGCATCCCCATAATAACCCAAAACCTTGCAGTCCTGCAGGCTTTGCCCCCAGATCCCCATCCAATCACTGTGGACTTATTCTCTGCACAGCTTTAGCCACGACCTTTCTTCTTCAATTCTGACATCATTCTTTGCCTGCACTGATTATTGCATAAAACAATGAATGTAGTTTTTCCATTTGTTTAAGCAGTTAATGGTGCATGGAGGATGAGAGGGGGTCTGCAGGAGTGAGCCCTTGATGGGAAAGTATGGTGATCAGATGGGGGTCTGTGGAGGAAACCTGCCAGGTTAGGAAGGTTTTTGGTACATATGGTGAGTGGCTTGAGTAATAGGGATTTAGAGTAATTATTAGCAATTACCAATGCTTTTATTTGTATGATTGTGATGGAAAGTAACAAGAGGTTTATGTATATTACAACATGAAAAAAATGAAACAAGAAATAATAATTGAAAGATTGCAAGTCTGTGTGAGTTTTACATATAAGTACTCATTACTCTTAAGATGATTTAAATGTTTACACATTTTGGATGTTATTTTCTATTCTAATCTATAAGGACTGTTTTAATTTGCCCGTATGAGATGGGGACCACTATATTGTAATGTTTGCCAAGTTGAAGATTAGACTTCATTTGAAATTAAGTAATACTTTACAATTCTAATGCACTTACCAGAGCCTAAGTCCTAAACTTTATTTCATAATTTTTTCAAGTTACTGTGAATGGGTATGCCCTTTGGGCGCAGTGCCCAAAGGGCACACCCATTCACATTCACATAACTGAGAGAGGGTTGATGGGGCCCCAATACCACCTAGCAAATATTTTCACCTTGCTGAAATTAGTGTGTGGACTTTGGCTTTGGGTGGCACTTGCCTTGATCTTTTCCCCTTATTTGAGGCACTACCATTAATGTTTGCAGATTGTTTCTTGTACCAATGGCTGCAACTTTTTTATCCACAGTTTGAATATAATTTTCGAATTTCCCTAGCTTAGTGTGTCCATGTGTAAAGAATAATTGGAAATAAGGAAAGGCTGGAGGCCCCTTTGATTTAATATCAGATGTAATAAGCCATCTTCAGTTTTACCTGAATTTTCAATGCAAAAATACAAATTACTCCACTTGTTTCACAATTGATGTATTGATAACAAAGAAACTGTGCCCCACAATATTTGAATTTACTAATTATGTAATTTTATCAAGATTTATTGTACTAATTTCTTTGTCATATTATAATACATTATCAATATAGGTTATATAATGATGTAAATGTTTGTTCTACACCAATTTATGGTAAATGGAATGACACTCGTGAAGAGACGGAAAACATTACACTCACCAATACAGGAAGTAGTCTGCATAGGCAGAGAAAGAAAAAAAATTAAGAAAATAGGTTGTGACAAATGCAGTCTGTTAAGTCCATGATTAGGCTTAAGGGGCAAAGTGACTGGGGAGGGTTATGAAGGATTCTGATTCATATGGTGATGTTTGTGAATTCCAAGGAGTGCCCCCAAGGTTGTTGGCTGGATTGATAGGGACTTGGTTTCAGAGGAATGCGGTCTCCTTATAATCCATTACTTTTATCTATCTCCCAATATGGTCATTTGCAAAGGAAAACAGCAGGTTTAATGCCTATTCATAGTGAATAATTGAAACAAAAAATCATAATAGCAAGGATATGGATAACTGTATGAAATAATACATGAAAATGAATATAACATTTTCAACAAAAAGTTGTAGTTTTCATGTTATTCATCTAAGTAAAGGTAAAACACAGAAAATGTGTTTCAGCTTTGAGGGTTGCTAAGCCCATCCCACCACCACCCCCAAAATAAAAGCATATAGATTCTAAACTAATAATTGTACAAGGTAAACAGTATCTGAATTTGATAGATTGATATAGATTGTCACCAATCATTTTAAAGATTAAGTTTTAATATAAGTAGTGTTATATGTGAACAAGTGATGCTTTAGCTTTGCAAGGCTTTGGTACTTCTTTTGTGTATTGTGTTTGGCAAGATTGAGCTGAGACTGGTTTCTTATTTGACAGTAAGTCACCAAGGACGTCTATAAACCATACAAGCAGTGGTCAAGATCATGTTATAGAAGATGTTTTAATGTTTTTATTTGCTGCTGCTTTTTTCAATTTATATAACAGTTATAAAGGGAAAATGTCTTATATTCATATTTATTTATATCAGTTACATTTTACAGTATTTACAGATATTTCAATACTCATGAATACCCAGTTGGATATACCAAATTTATATTCTTTATACTAAGTACTGATATATGATAATCATAAATATATTGTGTGGGTGTGAGACTTTGGTTATACATTACATGCCAATCATTGTAATTTTTATTATACAAGTTCAGGTCTTTTGGTGAATGAGTATTTGTCACCTTATTAGTCCACACTGTCCATGTAATTCAACAGTTTTGATATATTATGTATATATTTAATGGCAATTTTTTGTTTCAGGCCAGCTGAGCAATTCTATGAAGAGATTTGTTTTCCGCATGTCTGGCTATAACCAGTATGGTAAGTAATATTGAGATGATTGTAGATTTAAGCAGTATGTTTCATTTAAGAAGTTGCTAATTGAAAAGCGATGGCTATACTCAGTACTATCAGGTTCATGAAGGATAAACTATTTATGATCATAAATTAATACATGATCAAAATTACCTACCATATGAAAGGCTTAATAAATTTTTGTCTATATTCACAGCAGAGTTTTGTCCTTGCATAAGTTTTTCCCCATTCAAGCACTTGAAATGTATGAATGTTATTTGGTGCCAGTGAGTTTTTCACCAAGATGTGATTAGTTGTGACCTGGCTTTAGTGACTTAATACAGAAATGTATGTTTATATTTGCAACTTTGAAGCTTGTAAGTAACAAGGCATTTCAAACTATTTTCATGTATAGGACTGTTCCATGATGACTGCTTGTATGAGAATGATGATGTAAAGGAAGCTCTGCGCCGCCTGCCTCAGAACCTCAAGGATGATCGCCACTACAGGATGCATAGAGCTATCCATCTTTCTATGACCAAGACTGTCCTGCCTAAGGATGAATGGTTCTCTTATGAGGAGGTATGGCCAATTTAAATAGTTGATATGAATTTATGCAGTATTTTTATGATATACATAGGCATTTTAAGTACATATTTAACAACACTCTGGACTAGGTATGAGGATTAAAAATCCTTTAATTTCTTGTGCTTAACCTTTGCTATAATTTCAACTTTCTCAATTCAAGAAAGACTAAGAATATTTTAGATTATTTCTTAATTATTTCATGGCCTTTTTATAAGGACACATTAGAAATACAAGACAAATATCAAGTTTTCTTTTTTCTAAAACTGAAAATTGAAGATTTAATATATTTAGAAGTAACTGTTATTGAGGTTGTTTTAGAAAATTTCATAAATTAACTTTATTCTCCAGGACCACACAAAGGGACGTTATCTCCAGCCTTACCTCCAAGAAGTAATTACAGAAAGAAAGGAACGTGAAGAATGGAACAAAAAGTAAATCTACAACATCTTTTGCCAAGTTTTAATTGATTACTTATTGTTAGAAGATTCCTGTGTAACATCCCAAGAAGTACCATCTTTATTGTGTATCTGTAACATATGTACATTTATTTTTTAATTTATGGATTGTAGGATGGAATGCAGTTAATGTATAAAGGTTGAAATATAAACAACAATTAACAAAAGGTTTTGTCTTTCCTTCAGTGACAATACTAATTGCAATTGCAGTACCATGTCTAAAATGTAATTGTTTATTTACTTAATAATAAGAATCCAGTTGTTCTTGATTCATAATAATTTTCAAGAGTTAAATATATATATATACAGATAGAATTAATATTTTTCATTCAGTAGGGAAAAAGGTAAAGGGAAAGGGGAATTTAGTTGTCTTAAATTTTTTGCTTCAAAATTTTATAATATTCAAGAAGTTACATAAGCAGTACTCTTTGTAAACATTATTATGCATAAAATGAATAAGTAGATTTTTTTCAGATTTTCAGTAAAAGTTGTATGACCAAAGAAAAAATTATTTTAAGGTGGTGGCAAGAGTCACGACATAACTCTTCTGCCCAAACTTCACCATTGGGGTCATTTGGTAATTTTAATTAATGTAAACTACTAGTCAGCGGTTTTCATTCTATATGATTTTATTGTTGCCCCATTTAATAAAGATGAATTTCCAGAATAGAAGAAGTCGTCTTGATGGTGTCACCAGAGGCATTCAATCTCCTAAAGCTTACCCATAGTCTGTTTAGGTATCAGCTCCTCAACAACATAGTATCATTCAGTCCTAGTCAGGCAATATCTATCTATCTATCAGTCTGTCCCCTCCATCTCCTCCTCCCCTCCCTCCCTCTCTCTCTCTCTCTCTCTCCCTTCTCTCTCTCTCTTCTCTCTCTCTCTTCCTCTCTCTCCTCTCCTCTCTCTTCATCTCTTCTCTCTCTCTCTCTCTCTCTCTCTCTCTCTCTCTCTCTCTCTCTCTCTCTCTCTCTCTCTCATCTCCTCTCTCTCTCCTCCCTCTCTCTCTCTCTCTCTCCCTCTCTCTCTC